ACAGTAACAAGTCAATATTTTCAGAACTGTCGAACCACATCTTGCTCTGTGGACATCCTGTCCCTTCTAATTACTGTTCCCAATTCCTCTCCAGCATACTGGACCTTCTACGGCTACAACCACGACTGCGACTGCTGCTCCGGCGAGCGAGACGCCTGGTGGGAGTTCGTCGTCGTCAAGGTAACGGCAGAGTGTTTGCCTCGCCTCTCGAGATTTTCCTTTTAATCTTATTGCTGGGATTATCTCAGAGTTGTTCACTCACTACGCCATCCAATAAAGCTGAAAGCGAGGCGGCGAGACCTTAGGGTTAGCAAAACGTATTTTCGAAAGCCTCTCGAGAAAGTTGCCCAAGCACTGACCCGCGCCCTGCGACCCCCAGGTCCGTGACTGGGACCTGCAGCCGCACATGCACGAGGTCATGTTCGGCCAGAAGAAGGGCTGGTACACGAGAATCCCAGGTCACTACGAGGTCCACGACACCACGCACCCCGTGGCCTACGTCGGCAAGACCTCCCACGGGACCTACCACGACGACGGAGGCACCGGCACCTGCTGCTACTTCGAGGACTTCAGGAACCCGGGTTCGTTGATGCGTTGGAAGTTCTGACTCCACACGCTTGTGGTGCTTCTTTTTTATTTTAACGAGCTGTAAGAAACATAGTTTCTTATTCGTGCTCGTGTATAGTCTTGGCCCACTTGATAACCATTTATAAGAAAATAAACAAAACAGCACCATTTTTATATGAGAAAAAGCGAAAGGTACCACCTTCGTATGCATAAAGACAAACAATGAGAAATATCTGAATATATTCAAAAAAGCAAAACACTTAAATGAAACTTTAACTTCCTTGAGCAAGGTCCTCGTTAATCGTCCTCTGGCCCTTCTGTAGGTAGATAGACATGAGCATGAAGACGTGGCTGAACCTGGTGGAGCTGAAGCAGGCGGGCGGCGAGGGCTGGATGGAAGACGCCGACCGACGTGTGGAACGGCCTCCTCGCGCCCACCTTCAGGAGCGACTGGGACCTCTGCTCCCTCGTCGGCTGCACGGGGTCCTCTCTCCAGGTAATAATTTGGTTTATAAATAATATTTGCGACTGAGAAACACTTTAGGATTCTGGTGCTCATGGTTCCTACACAACCGCCAAGACAATACAGACAGGCCGCAAACTTTAACATATAGGGAAACTTTTGAAATAAACTTTTGACAGTGATCATGGAATGTTAAGAAATGAAGAACTGAAATTCACTTGAGGCGTTTTTTTTTAAGGAGGCAGCTTCTTTTATAAGACTATTAAATAGCCAGATATTCTTTGAAGTCCCCTACTACTTCCGACGTGTTAAATGAACTGAAATATACGTTTTTGAAATCATCTTGATGAGATTTTTCGAACGTAGTGCGATTCTCTATTTGTCTAAAACAAGATTTATTATGCAATTACCTTCATTTCTTTACTATTAATCATCTTGTGTCAGAATTACGTCAGAAATACCATAGAGTACTGAATACCTCGAGAGTCGTGGATTCATCCAAAACATAAGACAGAAAAAGTAGTAAACAAGAGATTCCAACCCCTTACCTGGTCTTCGATCCCCCACAGCTGTGCGGGACGTCGGGTGCCACAAGAGCGACATCGGCGACGACCCATTCTAAGGGCCTCGAGAGGTTCACGGAGAAGGCGGAACCAGCGGGGATTTGCAGCGGTCGATCGTGAGAGTGAAATAAAGAATGGGAATTATCTGCCGCTTTTCTTTTGTTCATTCGTGAATTCTTTACCATGGTTTAAAAATGTATTCTTGTTCGATAATAAAATGCGTTTACATACACATACACACATACATACATGCACTCATCCATACATACATACATACATACATACATACATACATACATACATACATACATACATACATAATACATACACACACACACACACACACACACACACACACACACACACACACACACACACACACACACACACACACACATATATTATATATATATATATATATATATATAAATATATATATAATATATATATATATATATATATATATTATTATATATAATATATATATATATATATATATATAAAGATGGAAACAATGCACTACCGCATTGTGAGTGGTGGAGGAATGGATAGAGCAGTCGCTTCACGATCTGGCGGCGCGGGATCGATCCCGAAACATTATATATATATATTAATATATATATATGTATATAATATATATATATATATAATATATATGTATATATATACTATATGTATATATGTGTATATATATATATATATATATATATATATATATATATATATATACGTATGTATGTATATATAAATACATACATATACATATATATATACATTATATATATATATATATATATATATATATATATATGTATGTATATATGAATATATTTATATTTGTGTGTACGTATATATGTATATACATATATACATATTTATATTTCACATACATAATGTGTGCGTAAAT